TTTGAAACAAATCTTATAATGATATAGTTAATAAAAAATAGCTTCTCTATATTCTTTAAAAAGAAGATATCTTTCCAATTTCGGAATTCGGATAATAAATCTTTAAAATCGAATATCTTTTTTTATTTAAAATATTATCGATTTGTTTAATCGATATCTGGAACATTTCATATTTCCAATAAACATAAGCCAAACAGGCTTTCAAAAAGATTATAGCTATATCCTTATTCTTTAATTCTTCGGAATGGGGTAGACAGATATACAAATTAGACTTTGAAGAAACTTTAGTAAAGCTTTTATACAAAATGAATGGGATGAAGTGTTACAAAATTCGTAATAAAATGGATTATTAAATTAAAACAAGTTTATTGCGAAATCAATATAGGGGTTATATTTCTTAAGCCAAGCTATCCTCAATATAATAAAATAATGGGCTAGTTTAATTATATACAAGATAATCTTCTTCTCAATATAATTGTTAATTTTGAATCCTACTCAGATATAGAAGATAACTCGATTATCAAGCAAAGTATTTCCATTAAATCCTATAATTTCGAATACTATAATAGTTGATATACTAGTATTTTCTAGAAGATATTTAGTTTCGATTTGTAAAGGCAATTTCTTTGCATTTGCTATCGATTATAGTATATATCAGAAGAATATCTTTTTTCAAAAATAGGATAATAAATAGGATTATCAAATCCGCATAATTATTTAGTTATCTTTTAAAGAAAGGTATGAATAGTAGTAGTAGATAAGTGGAGGGTATATAGAAAATCGTTCTAATTATGATTTAGATTAAACGTATCCCGTTTTCCAAACTGATTAAGCTGAATGACGAACGGGGAGGAGAGCGAGGTAAGGAATAAATAAGGACTTGACCCCTAAAGAACTATTCAGTATAAGACTAGTTCTTGTAGGGCTGGTTATAATAATAATAACTCAGAATTGAATAAAATAGATATCGGATATAAGCAATCTCATATCAGATGGCTAACAGAGCTGTAGTAATAGTATTTGTTGCGGTTTTGTTACAAATCCAGGTTTCTAGTAGTATATTCCTTTTTCCCTAAGCTCAGATCTATTGGGTTTTTAGGAGTAACCTTCGGGCTAATAGATTGTAGAAGTGGAGTGGTGGTTATTTTCTAGAATAAAGTTTTAAAAGTGATAGAATGAATATAGTGAATTTATTATTAATATTGATGGAATCAATTATTGAGTTATTATAGATAATTAATATATTAATAAATTCATAAATCAAAATAGAGTTATATAATAATATATCTTGTAGTTTATAAGAGATTCCTTGGAATAGGAATAGGGTTTAGAGCATTATCAAGCATTTCCCTTTTCAGAACGAGTCTCTAAAATTCTGTAAAAAAGATATCAAAATCAAGATGTCTTTATTTCAATATATATAGTTTATTCTATATATTTTGTATTCAATTAGAATCTTTAAAGACATTTTCGAAAATATTCGAGAAGTGTAGTATAATTGGTAAACTAGGAAATTCTATAGAAGATTTTAGATAGTATAAGTTTGTATATCTTTCTAATAAATCTTCCAATAATATAAGTCAATCAGACAGAAGTTATTAGGAATCTATTATTGTTTGCACTCAATTTTCTGTATATCTATTAAACGAATCTATACAAATCAGAGTAGATGCATCAAACTCTTTTGAATCGGGAATATATTTACTTAATCGAATAATCGGAATAGATATAGTAGATTCGGGAATAGAGTTAATAGAGTTTCAAGAAATACAGTTTCCAAACAAATAGATATAATAAATATAGATTCAGTAAAGCAATTAAGTAAACAAACATTTTGAATAGTAACCTACTTATACAAAGCAGTTTGAATATATTCGTAGACTAGGGATTCGGAAATTTCGTATTCAAGTAATCTATAATCTCCTTAACTCGATATAATACATAAATGCTAATTAAAGATATTGATATTAACCTAAAGGTTCTTTGATATAAAAGCACCAAATTCTGAGAAATCCCCAAGCCAACCAGATAGATACAAAGCAACTATCGCAAAAGCGATATTTTAATAAATAGGAGCCATATAGTATTACAGAGCAGGCAAACGGGATAAAGTTCTAATAACTTTGCCCTAATCTAGCAAAGTTATATTAGTTTAGGTAATAGATTCAGATTAAGAATTAAGATATAGCTCAAAAAGCTATAATACAGAATCTTTCAAGTTAAAGATATACAGGATTTTGCTAAGCGAGCTAGTCTGATCAGACCCTAGCTCACTTATGCTCCAGTGCGAGCGCTCAATTCGGTCCCCTCCAAGAGGACCAATATGTCATGTGATCTCACACCGTGACAATAAAGGAGTAAAGAATTGAAATTAAAGAATTATTTTGTAAAGATTCAATAGATTCAATTAGAATAAGAGAATTATAAAAAGATAGATTTATTTATTTATTATTTATTTATAGTGATTATATAAAAAGATAGAAAGTGATTAAATTGAGAGTTATCTTTATAAAGAGTAGGATTAATAGAACTTAGAATATCAGATATATATATAAAAGATATTTTGAAGGATTGAAAGTAGATAGAATAAAATAATAAAAAGAATAATTATTTAAAGATTTTATTTCATTAAATAATAAGAGATTCAACAAAATTACTATTTTATTAATTATTCTAGATCTTTCAAATAATCAAATTCGTAAAAATAATATTCTGATATCGATATTCATATTCAAAGGTATTAAAAGATCAAAATATTCAATAATATTGATAGTTTATTATTAATTAATAATAATTTAATTGAATGTATAGTTTGATATTATTGAAATCTAAAGATAACTTCAAATTCGTATATTTCGGTTATTCTATACTAATTAAAGATTTGTATTCCTATATCTTATCAATAATATTCAATGTTAAGATGATATTGAATATCTTCAGTGGTATCGAATTCCATACCACGTATGTATATATTTCGAAGAAAATCGATATGTACCACTATCTAGCCCGTATACGGATTACGGGAAATACTATTGCCTACACTGATATACCAACAAATGAACAAAACAAAAATTCAAACTTCAATACAGAATTGAAGAATTCAAATATCTCCATTTCGATTTTAAATAGAACGCATTTGACTCATCTCCTTCTCCTTCTCTATATCATATTCTATCAAATGATCTTCCAAGTTTACCATTTACTACTCACTACTTACTACTTATCTAGAATTATATACAGAACTATGAAAGATAATCTACAATACAAAAGAATTTTGATAGTATTGTTTATTTATCTATTTATTTCTTTCTTTCCTTCTTTCTTTATTTCATTATCTAATATCTATATTACATATTCGTAGACAAAAAGACCATTGTCCTCCGCAAGGAGCCTGGCTGGTTCAGTGGTAGAGTGATTGGGTCACTCTCCTATTATTCTATACTTATAACTATAGCGATCTGATTTTATATAGATTCATCCTATATATTGTCTTATAGGTCACCTTAATGTGAACCTCCTAACACAGCTCCACTGAACTCCGATAATCTACTGCTAATCCTAATAGAGCTTTTCTATTATGAACTGCAAAAAGCGATTGATCGAATATTGAAAGGGAATTGATCCCTCTTCCAACTATCACCACTACACTTATACACCACTCCACTACTCAGCGGAACTATATTCCAACTACTCCTCTCAAGCAGCCTAATAACTGAATCCTCTGCTTCCATAAAGCATCATCATACACACACCTGTTTTTTTAAAGCAATATACCTATATATACACTACTCCTGCTCATATGGTTTTATAACAGGAATAATCGTATAATCAGAGCGCTCCTCTCTACGAGTAACAAAAAGTACTAGGAATATAGAGCCGATCAAATAGCTCTATTTGCAAACATTACACTAGCTTGTTTAGAATATATAGAAGGAACTAGGTTTACTCTATAAGATTTTACTAGCATATATATCAGTACCTTTCTATATTTGTAACTCTAGATCTAGCCACATCTTTCATACCCCTAGGGAGGTCCCCCACAAGACGTTAATCACTATAAATAAATAAATAAATAAATATTACATATTCATCCATCCTACTATATTCTATAATCCACAGAACTATCTAGATATACTCTAGACTTAATATCCATTAAAGATTCTATAGTTATCTATTCAAAGATTCCTTTTTTTAAATCAAAGAAAAAGTAGACGAAGTATGTCATAATCAATCTTGAAATTCATAATTTGTACTTTCAGTACCCATAGAAGTAATTAAAGTTCTCTTAAAAAAGAAAATTATTTATTCTAAATTTATATTCCGATATTTCTAGTTTATAAAGATCTAGTAATACAATACAATATAATATAATATAATCTCACATCTCAGAATCTAGAAGATATGATAAGTATTCATCACCTCTTATAACTCATAATATTATTTCCTATTTCGTTCATTTAGTATTCATAACTCTCTGAATATATGTAGGTAATCTAAGTATCAAAAACCGTATCAGAATACTATTCTCGCGGGGAAATCTACAGGGTCATGATGTTAGGAGAGGAGGATTGCAAGAGTTTTCTTTGTATCTCTTATATTCGCTCTCTATTATTATGATTTTGCGATATGGATAGAGGAAATTCGTTCTCGAGTGAGTGGAAGAGGGAGTGGAATGCTATTAGTGTTTGTAACGTAGTATTATCGATGAAGATTTGATTAGAGAGGTTCAAAATTCAAAGGGGTTGAATTAGTTAAGAATCATTTCTTGTAATATTATTTTTTATTTGATCTATTCTGATATCTACCACCAACTTGTAATTTGGAAGTTGGAGTATGTAATTACCTCTCGTATAATCCATATACCTCCCTAGGAAAAGAAGCAAACTCGCATTAAAAAGTCATGGTATCTTGCCCTAGCATGCCAGCCCTCGAAAGCGCAACAGAAACGAAAAAAGCAAACAAATCATCATCTCCCATCCAATTTCTCTTCCTCACCCACTCTACCACCGGGGATCATAAACCTGTTTCCTAATCCAATTCTCCAACGCCACATCACCCCACTCCTCCCACACAGCCCAACACTCCTCACTCAACTCACTAACCCCCTCTCTCCTCGCCGCCTTCATCACCTCCCTCGCAACCACCACACTCGCATCGCGCACCCGCTCAATCTTCGGATAAATAAGTCCCATCATCAATTCCTCCCGATTCAAACATCCCGACAACGCTTCCGCACTCTGATACACCATTGCATCTGTGACTCTCGAGGCCTTGGCCAAGATCGCTCCGAGTCCCAGTCCCGGGAAGACATACACGTTGTTGCCCTGATTGGGGTAGTACGTTGTTGAGTTTTCCGAGGGGGACTCAGAATGTTTGATCGTCACCGGCGAGAAGGGGGATCCGGATGCGAAAATTACGGTTCCCTCGGTCCAAGTAATTGCTTGTTCGAAGGTACATTCTGCTTTCGTGAGGGGATTGCTGAGCGGGAAGAGAATAGGTCTTCGTCCCAATCCGCCCGCATCCACACTCACCTTCAGCGCTCTCACCACCGATTCTGTAAAAACGCCAAAAGTAGCCGTTAACCCGATCAACGCCGTCGGTTTCACATACTCGATGACTTCTTCTAAGGTTTGGAATTGATGACCATTATTATCATCTCTCGCGAAGATTTTCTTATGCGCGGCTAATTTGTCGCCGCGGTCGGTGGTGACGAGGCCTTTGGTATCGACGAGCCAGAATTTGTCACGGGCTTCTTTTTCAGAGAGTCCGCGACGCGTGTAGTATTCCATGACTTGTTTTGCGACTCCGACACCAGCGGAGCCCGCGCCCATAAATACTAATCTCTGGTCTTCGATGGGGACTCCGGAGAGATTGACTGCGCCAATATATCTATATCAAATTAATACATGGGGGAATACGAGGAGAGGGGAGATACATACCCAGCTAAGACGACCGCTCCTGTGCCTTGAATATCATCGTTGAACATTTTTTCGCCCTTGTATCGATCGAGATACTTGAATGCCTTTTCGGATTCGAAATCTTCGAATTGGACGAGCATCTGGGGGTAGACTTCTTTGACGGCAGCCATGAATTCATCCATGAATTGCTGCTCGACTTCGGGGCCGGGTCGCTTCATGCGGAGACCGAGGTAGAGGGGGTCGCGGAGATTTTCTTCATTGGCGGTGCCGCAGTCGAGGACGATGGGGAGGGTTTTTTCGGGATGGATACCGGCTGCTCCGGTGTAGAGGGCTAGTTTACCAATCTGGAAGGGAGGGTTAGTTAGGTTTTGAGAAGGACATAGAGGGAAGGAGGGGATGTTTTGTTCAAAAAGGGGTGAGGGGTACGAACCGAGATTCCAACCACCGTTAACACCGAGATCGCCAAGACCGAGAATGCGTGATCCATCGGTCACGACACAAATTGAAGGATCTGGATATGGCCAATTTCTCAAAATGGTGGTCATGGACTTGCGTTGCTTGATGGAAATATATAATGCTTCTGGACGAGTGTATAATGTGGAGTACTGGAGACAGACATCGCCGATTGTGGGGGTGTAGACGAGGGGCATGAGAGTAGCGATATTATCGATTAAGAGACGGTAGAAAAGATCTGTATTTTGGGCTTTGATGTTGGAGAGGTAGAGATATTTGTCGATGGGGGTTGCTCGATTATTGATCATTCGCATGGCTCGGATACATTGTGTTTCGAGGCTCTCTAGGACGTGAGGGATGAGACCAGTAAGGTTTTTGTTGACTCTGTCTTCGGGAGTAAAGGAGGTACCTTTTGGAAGGTTAGAAATCTGAGGGTTGAAATACTAGGTAGATGAATGATATGAAAATATACCTTTATTCCATGCAGGCTCACGAAGAACCTGATATCCTTTGGCGGCATCTTGAGAGATATATTCGGTATCATTGGATTGAGTAACCGTTGGATAATTCGTCTGACTATAACCTTTCAAATGGTCAAGAGAAGATTGCTTCATGGCCGCTTCAATGGCAGCAATATCAATGCCACCTATGGGATTCATAGCTGTATTTCTCCGACTTGTCGAAATAGAGATGCGTTTACTGATGGTGGTAGAAGAAGAACGACTTGCGACTGAATAAGTAGGAGAAGAAGATCTAGGAGTATATGGAGTTCCGACTTCAGAACTGGATGTGCTGTAATTATAAGAAGAAGCCATTGGAATATAAAGCTTTTTTGACTTTACAGTAGTGCGACGGAATCAGAAGAAAAAAAAGACTCGTGAGAGAATGTTCATCATTGATATATTTGATGGGACAATACGGTTGTTCGCAATACTTTTAAGTGGGTACCTTGACTTTCGATACGGAGGTTATTCATGATGAAGAAACCAGGATATGGACCACAAGCAGCGCGTGAGCTTTGAGAAGAAGAAAATTTGTAACAGCATGCTGGTAGTTTCGTTGGGGTTTCAATAATCGTCCGAAGAATATCGGGACGGGATGGCAGGGTCACACATGGTAAGTGTTGAGATGAAGATGAGGATTTGGGTAGGAAATCAAGCTAGTCGGTTGATGTTTATTCAATACGACCCGCTAAATGGGAACGGGTTGTGGATATCTTTTCCCGTATGGACCTTCCCGGGTGATATTTAGTCGGATGTTAACGGCGAATGAGGCTTATTGTATTAGGTATGTGGTTTGGGATAGTTGTTCTTAGTGAGAGTAGATTAAATGAGTTACAGTAGTAGAATCTTTCTCTCTGGAATACTTGACATATACTGTTTTGTATTGCGGTTGAAAGTTCATCCTCTGTGACCACCAACATAATATCGTCTCATCAATCCCATCCCATCCATCCCATCCCATCCTCGCAATATAATCCCAATCATCAGCTAAACAACACTCACGCATTGTTGAAAAGTAAGGGGGATTTTTTCACCAAACCACCCCTCTCCATGCCACTTGACGTTGAACCCAACTTTTACTACATCGTACATAATTTGTCTTTCGCTTCCAGGACCGAGCCCGATCTACCCCTAAAACAGTAAAGAAGCAGCCTTGTGAGGACCCCTCCCTCTACCCACCTTTTCTCCCAACCCCAGTTTATGCAAGGGGATATCAAGGATATGAAGGGATTTTTACTAATTAGTCATGTCGACTACAAGGTATGTACTTCCGTTCTGCTCCGACATTTTCGTCGTTCGAGCTTTTTTTTCGACGTTGATGTACACACATACATACATGACATCTCTTAGTAACTTTCCATGCATATAACAAATTTCGGGAAGAATCTTTATCCCCTTTTCCTTTCCATTTTATATACAACATCTCTCTAACCATCACAACTTCATCTACCGATTTCCTAGACGGGTGTTGCGAAAACATATATGTGGAAACCTTCATTTTATCTGGCAAGAATCGTATCTAGACGATTTACGAACACGCTGAATGGGAAGAGGAAGCCGATTAAATAACGCATACAAATGTTGTTGCTGATTGATTTTGTCGATTCTATAAAAAGTAAACTGGGTAGAATATCTGGATGAACGATTTCCGACACGAGACATCCAGATGAAATGTTTCATGTATTGCCTGATGGATCCACAATGGAATGAATGATTATCCTGATCCTTCGGAATACTTTTCCATGTGGTGGAACACGGATCGGACCACTCACTGCATACGGAGTTTTGAGAGTAGAGTCGATGGAATTTCTCGAAATTTACTCTTTTGGGACCCATCGATCATACAGTATCAATTGTGACACTGACACGGAATTGAGTTTAAGCATTACCAAGCATTATCAAGCATTTTCAAACCGTTCTTTTCCTCCTCAACTTCCTTCTTCTTCTTCCTTTTCATTTTGTAGGATCGTCCGTCCCATCTTGTAACATTCTTGTCACATGTTGGGGTTACAAGTTAGTTGTTCACGATCTCAATCCTTGTGTTTAAAAGCTTATCGTGCATCTATCCTAACACTGTTACATACAGTCCCATATCTTGAACGTCTGAATATTTCTATCTCAAGATGAGGAATCGTGGAGGTACATCAAACGATTGATTGATATTTGCATAGCTGGTATTTTATGATTGTTTACCCTGTAGCAACAATCTACGGCATGGATTGAGAAACTTCGAGTTGATGTTTATTTCATATCATCTTCACGACCATACTTCAAGCAATGGAATTTGCTACAAAAACGTTTCGGTCTGCTTCATTTGATGTATCAATTTTTCCATCTTTTCTTTTTCCTAATAGTCTGCCTCCACGGCAGTGGCCCCCGAAGGGTCAGCGAAGCGTCGTTCATATCAACATCGATCAATTGACCAGTCAATTGATAAAAAGTATTATTATGGGGGCAAGCCCCCAAACCCCCATAGCTCGCTGCGCTCGAGATTTGCTCTGTACTTATTCTAGTGGCTCCTCGAATGCTACGCTTACAATTACAAAGAACCATCCATGATTTTACCTAAAGACCCGACTTTGGTATACCGCCGCGCTGTTCACTTTATTCCAATAGGAACAGATATAGACTCGAATGCTATCGCCACGGAATATGACCATACAGAGCCTTGAAAATTCCAGAAAGATATCGTATCGAATTCTAGAATATATGTTGAAAGATTCTCCATATCGAATTTGTACACGATCTATTGGGGGTTTTGATACTTTGTCCCCTCTGGTTCGTATAACAGTTAGTCTATGGATAGCCTAGATCTCGACTTGAAATTGCGAATAACCTTATGCTTTGGGTACCATACCATCTATCATAACTTTCCATACTATCTTCTTACAGTTCTCTTTTACATTTTATACGCACCCATACTATCATCCAAACTTTCCTTCGCGCTCAATCGAATAAATGCGTGCAAGAGTTTCACTATACATACATACATACATACATACATACATACATACATACATACATACATACATACATACATACATACCTAGTAGGTACCTAAATTCATTCCGAGTACCGCGCAATCGCAACCTCATGACTTTCCTAGATACCTATCCTCTTCACTCAATCAAACATGAAGAATATCGAGCTTGTCCATCCCCTCAATATCACGCAGCATCTACATTTGCAATAACAAAATTTCAATCAGAACCGAAATGTATTCTTCCGTTTATTATTGTAAGTGTATAGTATACGAGGTTTCATAGTCCTTTTTACTCCCATTATCATTCTATACGGACGGTATCGAGTCTAGTCTTTAGTATAAAAAATGAGAGAAAGGCTTTGTAAATGTTTTTTAGTATATACTTGCTTATATATTTCTCTCGATTTTAGTTTTATTTCTTATTTCTTATTTATATTGTTGGTTCGAGAAAGATACGGAAGACGTGGTTCCCACTATTAGTAGGCCCCTAAATGTCTATTTGTATTCAATCTAAAGAGCTAGCTAAGTGGGAAAATAGTAGGCCTTATATAGGCACTACTGAAAGAGTTAGTCTCTTTCGCATTCGCCTAATACCTTTGATACAGTAGCCATTGTATTGAAGTCATTCCTTTGAAGTGAATACTCTTGTTCATATAACGTGTTTTATCAGTGTGCGGGTCATATCAGTGTGCGGGTCATATCAGTGTGCGGGTCATATCAGTGTGCGGGTCACTTTTATCTCAATTCACTTTTTCAAATTTATATTATTCAATAATCATTGAATCAATTGATTAAAACTATGAAAATTATAATAATCTAGGATTTATTATATTATTTTGATAAGTTTTTATATTATTTTCGTTCTTTCTGTATTTATTATAGTATCGACTAGAAGATGTTTCTTTATTAGAATTCCTTCCTTTTTAATATTTGTTATATTGAATTTGAATATTAATCTTTTGTTGAGATAATATATCAAGAGCTTTTTATTTAGTAAGTATTCCTTCTTAATATAATTGGATTTTTTTTGTGTATTGATATTTGTTTAATGTTTTATTCGTTACTTGAAATGTATGGATTTTTGTATTTAAAAGTGTATTCTTATAAGCTAATCTCTTTATATTTTTAGCTAAAATTAGTATAGTCTTGAATATAGATATAGGGGAGTTTGATTAATAATAAGTTATTCGAGATTTAACTAATATTGATTGAAAAAGAGTTTCAGTTGGGTTGTGAGGGGTTTGAAAGATTTATTGATTTAGGTTGAAAGAGGGGGGAGTAGGTGTATGAATTCGAATATCTAATTTCGAAAGTATGGTTTCAGGATTAAATGGTATTAAATCTGTTTCTCGAAATCCTGATTTCATATTCTGAGAGGTGATTGATTTTTTGTATGTAATTTTAAAAGTTATAAAGAATTCAATCTTCAAAATATGATTGATATATATTTTGATAAATCCATCAATTTGATTATTATATGAATGTTCAGATTACTAAAATAACTTATATTAAGTGGTTGAGTTAGATAACTTGAATATAGTAGTAAATATAAATATATATCACGCTAAAAGTGATATTGTGTGAACAAGGGAATTCACTTCAAAAGAATGACTTCAATACAATGGCTACTGTATCAAAGGTATTTAGGCGAATGCAAAGGAGACTAGCTCTTTCAGTAATGCCTATATAAGACCTACTATTTCCCCTCATTAGCTAGCTCTTTAGATTGAATACAAATAGACATTTAGGGCCTACTGATAGTAGGAACCACGTCTTCTGTATCTCTCTCGAACCAATACTAATTAGTGATATCACAAATTACTTAAATTACTTATTCGAAATACCTTTTCATTTTTACTTCTTTTATTTCCCATTGTCAGCACTATGACATCCCGGGTAAGCGCTAGCACTAGCTTTAAGCAAGCTAGCAAGAAACCCGATACTGGCAAGAAACCTGTTCCATCCAATCAATCCATCGGTATAGGAGGATTTATCGATACGACAACTGACGACACTGATCCTTTGTAACAAGAGTTCAAGACTTCTTTTTACAAAGATATAACCAATACTTTTCCTTACCTTTCTGCTCTTTCAATCCCTATATTCCTAACAAAGTAATAACTGAAAAAAGGAAAACTCAGGAAACTGCTAAGGATTTGAAGTTCAAAGGAAAATCTCAAGACTATTCCTTTCCAAAAGATCTCAATAAAGCTAGGCAGTTCTACAAAGGATATATATTCAAGATGGGGATAAAGTATCAGATTGATGGATACTTTCTTTTTCGAATAGTTGTGTATTTGAATATAGAGATTACTGACACATCTTTTTA